TTATTCAGTTGAAGCAGATGACATTGGTCTATTTCATTTTTATATTACCGCTATCGGAAAAAGTGAAAAAAAAATTTAGATTGAAAAATGTTCGTTTTCTTGTTCAAAAAATTGACACTATTCATGTGACGAGTTATTGAGATCATTGTTTAAGTGTACTTTATGACCGTAAATTAGTACCGCTTGCATAAAGTAAAAGCTACAATTATTTGAAAAAAAAGTAGGATAAAAGCAAGAAAAGAAATGAAAGATTTATTTTTCAATATTATTGGCTATTTACCTCAACAGTGTTCTCTTTTTTTTTTTCATATTCCCCATGTTCTGTTTTAAGCCTAAGCGCTCTGTCTTTTATGCAACAATTAAGAAGTAAAAAAAAAAAATTTCTCTTTACTTCCGTTTCTTTGAACAAATTTTTTTTATAAAAACGTTATTTTTTGAACTGAAAACAATTATCGACTCTCCACTGATGAAAACCAAATCACTAAAAAGTCAACTGAACAAAAACACTTGAACACTTAGAATTTTGTCTATATACATACTCAGGCAGCTTTGAATCTGAACAAATTCTCAAGCAGCTTCAAACTGTTGTGATAACTGTAGTTTTATGATAGAAAAGAAAATATATAGTCAACAAATGAAACTTTTCAATGCATTTTGTATCAGACTGACTCCTTAAATATAAGAATGAGAAAAAAAAGATGAGTAATTTATCAGTGAAGTATTAAAAAAGTGAATTATTCTGTTGACCAAACAAAATCTGTATCAACAAATTGCGGTTAAAAAATTCTTGATAATTCAAAATTTTTATCAGTGCAAAAAAACAAGAAGCAAAAAAAAGTTGCTTTATTTATATCTCTGTCGTGTTTTTCTTTTTCGTATTTTTTAGAAAATTCACCTGTAATTATTCAAAAAAAAAAAAAACCAACCTGCAGTGTACGTCTTTGTATGTCGGTAAAAACAAGTCGTGGCTTTTTTGGTGTCGAAGAATGCGAATTTCCGTTCACCTGCTGTTCCTCTTTTCTTTTACAGGCTATAATTAGGAGCAAAATAAGAGCTGTTGAACATGTGTAACATATTGACAAATATAGCAGCAAAACATTTCATGAAAACAACCAAACTAAAGTCTCAGTTTTTTCAAAGTGCCATTTTTGTTTCTGCTCATACCAAGTTATTACTTGTTTCCTAACTGCTGTTCTTTAAAATATTGATACTTAGTTGCTGAACTGAGACTGACAGTATCAGTAGAAATAAGGAGAAGAAAAATAAAAATGATCAATTTGTCTAAGACAGAAGAAAATTCAAAAAGAAAAGCTGGCATGTTTTCATCAGCAAATATATGCAGTTTCAGTGTCGTATAAGTGCTGCGGAAAATGAAAACAATCTTAATTACTGTAATTAAATTGCCTGCAATAAGAGCACATATTCTAAAAGTTTTTTTTTCTCCATATGCTTGAATAAAAAATCAGTTTGTCATATATTTGTAACTTCTTAATAAAAAAACTTTAAAGAATTCAAAAAGATATGTAAAAGTACTAAAATCTTTTTTGCGCACTCTTTCTTCACCATTTTTTCAATTGAAAATTAAAAATTTTTGAGTAATGCTGATTTTTTTTTCTTTTTTTTTCCCCTCTCATCTTTTTTTTTTTTTTTTTTT